CCCCAAAACCCCAAAACCCCAAAACCCCAAAACCCCATTTTTGTAATAAAATTAGACAAAATAAGTAATCCAAGATGAGGTCTAGAAGTTCGAAAAATGGCAACCGTCAGACAAAACTATACCTGAACGCACGGAAAAGAGAAGATAGGTCGTTAAAGTCTACATTGCCACTTATCTCAGAGTCTTTCATCAAAACTCATATTCTGGGCAACAACTCCTCCCTAAGGGAACAAGAGTACAAAGAGAAACTAGATCTCCAAGTGAGTTTTCCTTCTAACTGAATAGAGACCAAAGTTGTCTTTTCTAAAATAAGACAGTAAAGAACCAGAAGAAACTGATCGACCTCCTTCAGAAGCAGAATAGCTCTTTAAAGCAAGAGAATCAGAAGCTTAAACTTCAGGTGAAACAAGCGAAGCAGAAAGTTGAAAATTTACCTAAGAAGCCACCAACTAAGGATGAAGAGGTACTTTTCTTTTCTAAAGTTTAGAGCGAAAGTAAAGAGCCTGAGGCTAAAGTTAACCTTCTGAAAAACTCCTTCCCAAGGTATGGCTTTGCTTCATTGTCTGTGTAGTATACAGTCTGAAAGTGCAGATGAGTTCTGTAGTACTCCTACTAATAAGAAAAGTTCTGACAAGACCATCCAGCTCAAATAAGAGAGGTAGATATTTTACTTGTGATTTATTGCTCATCCCAGCCCATATCTGAGTTAGATGCCGGTATAGATAAACACAAAAGCCATTTTAAGATTTTTAAGCCAAGAGAAACCACAGATAAGAAGGGTCTCGATAGGTTTATGAGCAAGAAAATGACAGAAAAAATCAACTTTGATGTGGAAAATCGGGAAAGCCTTGACAGCGTACTGGATGTGAAGAAGAATTCTAATCTTAATAAGAGATTTTCGATCCGTCCGAATACAGAATCAAGGTTTAAGAATGCCTTTGCTCATGATTTTGGAAAACCAAATTCAGCCCTTCCCAGGGAGATGGCTAACAAAGAGAAAAAGATGAGCCTCTTCATACAAAAGTGCTCTGAATCCGTCACGTCGGTTAGAGCTATCCTGGAGATTATTGTAGAGTTAACAAAATGTAAAAGTCAGGAGAACTTTCTAAAAATTCTCACTATTGAAGCTCCAAAGGTGATCAACTGTGATCACATATTCTATGCCTTTACAAATACGGGTGTTGTAGTTGATCCAGATGCTTCTGTTTCCGAGAATGGGAGTGCAGTTTCAACACAAGCACAGTTCAGAATCCCGAGACACAACCAAGAGCCAGTGTCATTTCCGATATCTGAGGCTAAGGTTTTTAAGAATGCTAGCGAAAGAAATGAGATCATAATGATCAACCGCAGGAACGATCCACATCTGAAGATCAAGCCTGTTGAAGATATGATTGGCGAAGAAATCCGGAATGTTATAGTCAGTCCGATTGAAGGTAAGCCTATTTTTCAATTTGCTCACTCAGGAAGTCCTCTGTTCTAACGGTTCTAGGTAACACAAATGGAGTTTTGATCTCTGTAAATAAGTGAGGCCGAAACTCATTTGACCAAAATGACCTAGCCTTACAGAAGTACTTGTCTGCAACCTCAGGAAATTTGCTGGAAAAGTTGAGAGATCAAGAGAATAGAGTCGCATCAGAAAATTCACTCAGATTAATCATTAACCTAACCAAAGATCTTTCTAAATTCCATGATTTGGGAGAACTTGTACTTGAATTGACCAAGAGGTCTCAAGAATTGTTCAAAGTAGACACTGCAAAGATTCTTTTATGTGATGAAAACTCTTCAGATTTAATTGAATTTCAACAGACAGAAGAAGGAATAACTCAGAGAAAGCTGAACTCAAGTGGTAGCCTAGCTAAGGAGGTAATACGATCCAGGTTTCATAAATGTTTGATCAAAAGAACAGCAGGCTGTTCTTATAATGAAACTGTAGATATCGTTACTGGGCTTCCCATAATATGCTTACCCATCCTAAATCCATTTGTTGATGTTCATTCTGAGTATCTGAATACCAAACTTCTAGAAGGAGTTCCTGAGAGAATGGTGTTTGGAGTGCTGCAAATTATCAACCCAAGGGCTATCATGATGGAATATAATCTTATCATTAAAGGTGTAGAATTTGAAATTCTCACACAATTTTTGAAACATGCTAGTTATGTACTGGCATCAACCCTTTCAAAATAATTTCAATTTAATTTGGTGAAAATGGGGTTTTGGGGTTTTGGGGTTTTGGGG